GAATCGGACCAGAGTTATTGTAACCAACTGCAACAAGGAGGATATTTTTCTCGTCCTGGACTAGCTGAGGGTAACTCCTATAATAACTAGATTAAAACTTTAAGGCCCTGGCAGGTAAAAAAAAAAGCCAAACAATAGCCCTTGGTCTCTCTACATTTTAAACTCTCTGACTAAATTAATCATCGTTGAAACGTTCGGAGATTTACAATACGTAGTATTTGACAGCTCACTGGGCCTACAAGCGCAAAGGGGAACTGGCTGTAAAAAGACNGTCCCGCGGGGGAGAGGTCTGAGGATTTAAACATTAAACTAAATTATTATTATTTAAATATATTTATTATGCAAAACCCGCAACCCGACCCGCATCATCTTTGTTTTACCCAGAACCGAACCCGGAAAAAAGCGTTTGAAAAAATACCACCCGCAAATCACCTTTTTTGCGGGTACCCGCGGGTACCCGACCCGATGCAGGACTCTGGCCCAGGTACATCATGTCATTGCATATACTATATACACATTACACAAGACAGTTTAAACATTGCTTTCATTGTACCTGCTCTGCCATCTTATTGAAGTTTATTCTTCACAATGCAATAAACTTAACACAGTTACGTTATTCTTAATGTATTCTTTTGAGGGTGTTTTCACTGTTTACAATGATGTTAGCTTATAAAGATGACAAGTGAGTTTACTTTATGGCTAGAGAACAGAAAGAGTTGTTTACATTTATTGGCCAATGTCTAATCATTGCGAGGAAGTGACAAGGCGGGGTTGTAGAAGAGTTGATCTTGTGAGAGGCTTTTACTTTGAACCTCACCAGAGTGTTTAGAGAGTAGATATGATACAGTATGACGTTAGTGTGGCTTTCAGTGCTTAGTCTTCTGATCCTATGCATTAGGGCACTTCCCTCTGTATATTAACAGTGACATGTTATTTGATTTATTTTGTATGGCCTAGGAGTTTATGTGAATCACAGTTTTTGAAGCAAGTCTTATCTGCAGTGCAGGCCTACTGAAATGCCTTGATGGACTTCAATTTTGCCTCAGCCTGCACACCGCTACTGTCATCTTCTTTAAAGGGGCCATACAGTATTATGATCATTTTCAGGTTAATATTTGTATGTAGTGTCTCTACTGTGACATGTCTCCATGCTTTAATTTTCAAAAAGCTCTTTATTTTTATCATACTGCCTGTGCTGCAGCACCTCTTTTCACCCTCTGTCTGAAACCAGAGCCCAGTCTGCTCTGATTGGTTAGCTGGCCGGCTCTGGTGTGATTGGCCAACCAACCAGTCCAGCCCCTTAGCCGATCACATACAAAGTGCTAGCTAATAGAAGCGAGGGTGTTACATAGTGCTGTCACTTTGTTAGGAAGTAAACAAAGGAGTCCAATGGAGGCATGGGAGGGAACCTCACCAAATCAAATTCCTCATATGTATAAACTTACATGGCAATAAACCTGAATCTGATTCTGATCTTAGATTAATCTGAGTGATGGCAATATTATCCTTTTAATTCATGTTCTATAGGTCCGCTATAACTTTGCTATGACCAAGATAATAGTGAAGAGAAAGTCAAATTTTGTCAAAGTCCAAATCTGAATAATTGTGAAGTGATCAAATCCTCAGTTTGAAGTGCAGAATCCACTCAAATATTCAAGCGCTACCATCCCTGGCACTGATCATTCAATATTTCAAAATTACCAAAAAAGAGCATGGAAGCATATCACATTCAGACTATGCTCCAGTGAGATAACATGCATGTAAACACACACCTACTGGAACTTCTTCACAAGTAAACAGTTGTCCCAGTCCAACATTCAAACTATTTTCCACTTCACAGCCTGGATGACATTCCTGCTCTCACACATCCCCCTCTTACATCCCAAAACTCAGACTATATCCACACTACAACAGCTGGAAAAAAGATGACATGACAGACACACATTTTCATAAAGGAATACTAATATTGTGTACCATGCATGATACCACTGATGTAAACAAGACCATTAGTCTGCGTTACTGCTTGGTGAGAATAATGATGTAACTGGCCTAGTTTTTCAGACATGAAGAAGGATACAAACTTACATGTAGCTTACACTCAGCTTAGCTTCATATAACCATTCATTAAGACCTGGAAAACCGAGCATGAAGCGAGAGATCTCCGATTTTCTACCAAAAAAAACAAATAATTGTAAAATGTAAACGTTTCTTTAAGTCTACTGTTTTTCTGTTTCTTAATGGCCTGCAACAGCTTGCACTGTTTTGGATTTTGTCTCTTGTCCTGCATGTAGTTATGATCATATTTTTTATTTTAAATGGTGTAATTTTATCTTCAAAAAAGTCTAAAAAGTCACTTTCTACAGGGCTATTGTCAGAATAGAGCAGCTGTGCCTGCCAGCACAAGTTTGCCCCATTTCTTTTAAAAAACAGAAGCTGTATTGTTCATGATCACTTAACCTTTGCGCGTCTAAAATAGCGGTTGTTGCGATGACGCTGAGAAAAGTGCTAAATGATGCTCTCCCTGTAAGTTCTTATAAGTCAGTGTTTGTGTACGAGGCCCTGAGGGTGTCTCTGTACAGGACACCAGCTCCTTCACATGGGACTGTTCACACTCCTGCCATACTGACGAGAGGCGTAAACAAATGACTTGTGCTTATAGAAACATATACACACACACACACACACACACACACACACACACACACACACACACACACACACACACACACACACACACACACACACACACACACACACACACACACACACGTGCATGATCAACACCATGGCAGATTATCAAGATTCTGTAGGGAAAGGCGGATGGCTTTTAATAATAAATGGAATCATTGATCCTCTCTGAAGCCTCTTAGATAGAAAGGAACTGAGGGAGGATAACGGAACAGCTGACATAACCAGCAAAACACACACACACACACACACACACACACACACACACACACACACACACACACACACACACACACACACACACACACACACACACACACACACACACACAGAAATAAAGAGCATGCAACGTGTAGAGCCTAAAATGTCTAAAAGTCGGCCAAAAGTAAAAAAAAAAAAAAACATACTTAAAGAAAAATATCCACAAATGTCAAAAAGAAAGCCTTTAAAATATGAGGTGCAAAAGTACAATTATTTTTGAATAAAATCGTAGGGTTATAGTAATAGAACATTGTGTTATAATTTGTAGCTGTAGGCCTGAATGGGTTAACCTTTTCTGAGGGTCTGATGATCATCTGCTACACTACTTCTTAACAAAACCCGTCTATATCCTCTGGGGATCATAAATATGAAAAAGTAACTGTTCACATGCTCCCTCATGAGAGAGATACATCAACAAGCACACAAATAATATGACAGGACGAGTACACAACTGCACAAGTTGATGATCTCTGGACGGGGGTTTCAGCTGCACACACTCTGAATGGAACTGCTACAAGACACTGTCATGGATCCTTCACAGATTTCACACCAACATATTAATACTTATTAATTTGGTTTTATTAAGTGAGGAACGTTTAGCATGTTAACTTGACTTTTGTGTGTGAACGTTTTCTTACATTTTACCAATAAAAAAGGCAAAACAATCCTATCTCAAGAACTACTTATTAAAGGTTTTCCACAACTTTTCTTTTTCATGCACATCGCTCATTTGTCATCAGAAACAGAAGAAGACCTTGAGATGTGGTTGAAAGTTTTGGGAAGTGTTAGTTAATACACCTGAGTTGAGGCTTTTTTGTTGTCAAACACTTGACTTTAACATGCAGCAGCTCCCATGATGAATGCAATGAGCCATTATGCAAATAAAAAACTATATTTTCACCAGGTGAAAAGCTTGTGAAGCTTGGTGTCCATGCCAAATCGGACAATGTCTCCCTGTGTTTTAACTTTAACTTTGAAACAGTGCTGCCGCGAACTGTCCTGTGTAATCTGAATTTAGGTGAAGAACACCAGAGAGTGCTCTGTGCTTTGTTGCTTAAGAGAAAAACAATTTGATTTGCTCATCTGACTCTGACTTCTGCTTCTAGAAGCCTTTGCCTGGGGCTGCACGGCTGTACATAATAAATTAGAGATAATAAACAATAATCTGAAAACAGGCTTTTATTATAGCACGCATTTAGACTTTAGACACATAGGCCTATAGCAAATATTGAGTGAGGGACACTTTCATCCAGTACTCTTAGTACTACACAGCAACAATTTTTAAATTAAAGTTGTTCGTTATACAAAAATTGTTGACGGATACATTTAACTATAACGCCTTTTATTTAGCATGAAAGCAAATAAATGGTTTACTCAATATTATTGAACTATAATGTATGATTGAGTGTGGAATACACATTTTTCTCAACAATATGTCTTCCACCAATAGCCATATGTACAGTAGAAGCTTATGTAAATACATAAATTACAATATAGTAGGTGTAATAATATAAAATGTGTCTTCATACGAGAAGTTATTATTGTTTACACTTACACATTTCCTAATTTTTGCATACAACTACAATACAGTATGTTATGCACTGTTAAATGAATGTTTTATAGTGACTATTGTGCCAAAGTTGAAGTAAAGTGCTACCATTGTGACCTCTAAAGAAATCCTGTCAGGGCCAACTAATGGCATTTTCTTTTTAAATATTATTTTATCTGATAGCCCATGCACCTGCCTGCTTCTTTGTGAGCAATCTTTAAAAACATTGAAAGCACTGAGACATGTATGAGATCACTGTCACATCATATGTAGCCTCCTAGCATCATGACTGATGGCTGGCTGCAGGGAGGAACTGATAGAGGCAGTGAATGAGAGGAGGCTGAACCGAAGTCATTACAGAACTGTAATTAAAGCACCGGATCAGAAGGCTTATTGGGCCTCCTCCGGTAACAAACACACACACCGACAGGCCTCCTCACGTGTGATTCCCACTCACGACCCGGTGCTGATGCTGTGCCAGTGTTCTGACAGATAACCTTACCTTGACGCTGTTGTGGCTGGTCTGCGTCTCGGCCTCGATGCGGATGTGCCCGACGCTGTTCTCCTTGTGATCCCGGCAGGAGTTGTTCCGCGAGGGGCGACTCTGGTAGGTGAGGACGGAGGGGATGGTCTCGGCCGCATCGGTCTTGATGAAGAGCCCGTGTAGCGTGGCCGCGGTACCCTGAGAGATGGTGGTGGTCTGGTGGGGGGAGTTGGATTCGTCCGAGTCTCGGCAGTAGATCACCCCGCTCTGAGAGACGTGGATACTGGGAGCGCAGCCCATGCCTCAGCGCCGCGCCTCCGGAGTCAGATCCCGGATAATAAACACTCGGGTACCACCTTCCTCTGGTCCACAGCTGCCTGCACATAGGCGGCTGTTTTCTCCGGGCATCGGCAATCGCTCTCTCCTCCACACACCTCCGTTTGAGCACATCAAGGGGGGAGGAAACGTGATTCTTTCAATCATGCGTCCCGTCAATCCTCCTCAGCCTCCGCTAGTGCAGGATCTTGGATAACGATGTCATATTCAGGACAAACAAGGTGTTTCATGCTATAGTGTAAACCTTGCTGATGGCCTGTTTGTGCATCTATGAAATTACCCGGCTAATGAATAAAATCGCTAAATGGACTAAACCACCTGGCTGCTCTTCATCGCCTCATCCTCTGAGACATGCTCGTGTTTTTGGTCTGTGGAGAGTTGCTTGCTTTATCAAATCTCCTCTGTGTCTCTAGTTATTCTGCTTGCAGATCATTGGCCACGGTCCATCCCTCTCTCCCCCCTCTCCCTAACATTATATTTCTCCATCATGACCCTCTTATCTCCCCTGAGACCCTGCTCTGACTCCAGGGGTCATTTCAAGCCTCACTGTGGCGAATTACACACAATGTTGTCAAAGAAGTATACGGCTAATGGAGGCTTTATGAAAAAACACTTTCTTCTCCTTTAGTTTACACTTTCTTTGAGATTGCTTGATATACTAAAATAGTATATTAGTTTTTTCCAAAATGTGTGTGTTCCGTTTTGGAGGACTCGGATTGACGAAGTTTCTCAATTAATCTTAAAAGGACCCATGACATGGCCATATCACTGATCATAATTCCATTGTTGAGGTCTACTAAAATAGATTTACATTGTTCAATGTTCCACAATCACATTGGTTTCTCATACAGCAGCTCTGTTAGTAAGTGTATTCACTCTCTGTCCTAAACGGCTTGTTGGAACTCCATGGGACCCCTAACAGTTTGGTCCATACAATGTCAGTTAATATTAGAAGTGATCCCTTTTTGTCCACCGGAGGCGTTAGCGTTAAACATTTCCTAAATCAGAAATTGATGTCTTCAAACTGCTTGTTTTGTCTGACCACCATAGGCCAAACCCAAATATCTTCAGCAAAATAACAAATATGACAAAGAGAACACACAGTTAAGAAGCTACATAGTCAATGTATGCCTAAAAAGACTCAAAATGGATTATCAAATTGGCAATTATTAAAGTGATAGTTTCAGATCAATAATTTGTACCATATGGTACCTCTACTCATTTAAGTAATTTCTACTTTACTTATTACAAGAGGGGTTGCTTTGACACTGCGGGGGTCAATACGTTTAAACAATCACAGTCAAATCTTTGCCCCCCAGCCTCTGTAGTCAACATGGCTCCCGTAGTTAGACAGAGTGCTCTTGGTTACCCCTCAAGGAAGTATAGTACACGTTTTAAAAATAAATAGAAAACAGTAACAAAAATGAGTTGACAGTGACACTTGCAAATGCAATATAATAAAAGCAATGGTAGCACACCAGCCATGTCGCCAAATCAGGACAGTACATACAAGTAGAGCGGGCCAAAACATCACTTTCCCACTTCCTGGCCCCTACTCGGGGCTAACTAGCTTGGCATCAATCTGGGCTGGCCATGGTACCTGGTCAACCTTTATCACATAAGTCTGCAGTTCTGCGCAGTTGTATAGAACAGTTTATGATCTTTAAACTCATTGTTTTGGTTTTTGAAATGCACAGCTTTACTGTTTTGGTCTACTGCTCATAAGGAAGGCACTTTCAGCTTCAATATCTGATAAGCCCTCTGTACACCTGCTCTGCACAGTTAGCTGGGGGAGCATTTAGCGGCTAAAGTAAAGACTCAGATATTTCCCTTAGGAGTTGTTGGATACCAAAACAGAGCTAAAATGAGAGTGAATCAGATGGACAAAAACAAAACATCAAGAGAATGCCAATGTTGGTTTGTATAAGTAAACATTAGCCACATAACAAGTGGAAGTGACAACAAAAATGTATACTACACTATAAGTATTAAATAGAGTTACATTGACAGCGAGCATTATTCTGCATTGAGTTGTTTTACCATGATACTTCAAGTAATTTGTAATTATGTTAAGGATCATTGTCAATCCAGGGATTCTACCTGTACTGACATTTTCAATAGTATAGCAACGTTCACATGTTAATGCTTATTTCATTTTAAGTACAAATTGTTCTCTGCGAGTGTATTTGTATTTGACAGCCCTGTATACAATACATATTGCTTAGTACTATTAAATAATCTCCTGTTGGGACTGCAGACAGCCCCCTTGTGGCCGGCTGTCACATGTTCAACCACTGCTCAGACCAGCAGCACCCAGACTGTATACTGTACATATATATATATATAAAAGGCAGCACCTCATCAAACAAGTTTTAAATATGTTGTACAGGCTGATACCTAAAATATCCCCATCTATGTCAGAGTTCACCATCTATGTATACTTTAGGCTACAAAATCCAGATGTTAGTTGGCAATCTGTCAAACCACTAGTATAACTTTAAGAAAGGAACTATACACAAAATATACCACTATGCACACACAATTTGCTATGTTAATCAACCTTAATAAAGGTTGTGCACAGTCCCATTTACATGAATGAACTCCAAATATGATTTTTTATAAAGAGGTATTAGAGAGCTTTAGAGTTGTGGCATTTATTTAAGGAGTTTGTATTGCTCTTTTCAACCTAAGCAGTCCAAAAAAGCCATGTTAACCCATTGAGACTATATGAGTAACTGACAGAAACATTTCAGATTATTATAAAGTAATGGTGGGAAAATTTTCTTGATTGGATTTATTATCTAAAATAAACATTTTGCCACAAACTTTTGTCCACAATTGTATTTGTTTTGCTTGATTAATGAGTTGTAACTAGCAGAGTAGATGTGCAGTGTTTCAGTTGTGATAAATGATCCGAACATGAACCCCTTTGAAAATGATATAGAGTCAGATTAAAGTTCCATGAGAAGCCTGTACTACTGCAGTTTTTCCACAAGAAGAACGAAGCAGCACTTTGCTTACCTTTCTTTGTCCATTGGGTAATAAAGCACTTTCCTCTAAGGACAGTCCACTCATGTCTTACTTAAAGCCACGAAGTTGTGTCCTTCTGTATCAAAACAAAATAATAAAGGATAGCGGATAAACTGTCTATAATGAACATACATATGCAAAGCTGTAAGTGTGTTAAAAGAGTTGAGCGGTGTCCCTCAGGTACGGAGCGGGCAGACTTGCTCCCGGCCTCTGGACTGCTCTGAGCGGCTGAGAGCAGGCATGGTGTCCGGGCGGCCCTAGTGTCCTCATTTTAGGACCAGAGGACTGCTAAAGTGTGCAGGTCATAATAAATACAAATAATTATAATAAAGTGCTTAAATTGCGAGTAAAAGTCTCATTGAAGTTCTTTATCAGCAACATGGAGCCTGGATTTATAATTTTAATCAGGGTAATGAAGATTGCCTATTACAGTCAGGTATATAGCAGTAGTGGTATTTAAAAAAAAAAATATTTTAAAAAAGAAATTAAAGGACCTTGGTAAAATTGAACTTCTGTAGAAAGTAGGCCAAAAGATTGAAGTTTAGCGTATACTCCGAGTCAATTTGACTATGTTACATTTTTAGGGAAAGGGGAAGTTGTATGATGATAAGGATTTGATGAAACTATTAAAGTAATGAACATATTTACACAAGATGAAGTCTATTAGATCGACATAAACATCACACCACCAGCCCTTATGTACACAGCCATATTGTATTCCTTTAAAACTGTACATGCCCGTTGCACCCGTATGAAATATACAACCGTGTTCATTTGTGTATTAACGAAGAGACAAATATGAGAATAGCCTAGAACTAACAGTCAAGGTGAAGTACCCTATGTAAACCATTTGGCAGATACAACAAGCAATGTCCTAAATTAAGCCACATAAACACTGCGGTCAAGCCAGCCTCCACTCGGGAAAACCTAGCCAGCCCGCACATGATAGCAGGACACCCCATCTAGTCACTCAGAAAAAATCAGGACATTCTGATGTAGAGTTTCAAAGATAAAAGACCTTTGAAGTCTTATATATGAGCTATCATCCCTCTGTTTTTAGATAAGAATAAAACAAAAACTCTCCAGTATCAAATACTTATTTCACTTCAGGGTAATAATACAATGGTATATGTCAGTGTGACGGTGTAGGTACCATGAGTTCAATATGGTCTAGCTGCGGCCGCGGACAGTACACGACACTACACGACACGCCCACCTGACACGACACTACGGTGGCTGAGAAGGGTCTAGCTGAGGCCGCGAAAGTTGTACT